TCTATAGCAAACAAATCCCTTTTTTCTGGTTTGTCAATAATATTAACATGTAAAAATAACATCAACATGTGAAGATAACATAGAGGTGAACTAATAAACACTAGTTTATTTGCCATTATTTACCTAACTAAATTTTAATTGATTTAAATAATTACTATATTATTAATTACATATTGCTTACTGATACATCCATCAAATAAACTATCCTATTTTTTTATTAATATGAGTTTTTTTTTCAGTTAATACAAGGGATGAAGATGTCAAAGATGCAGAAACTTGGCATGTAAAAAAAAGTTTTCTTATTTAAATAACAAAAGTTCATTAAAAGATAGCAAATGAAAAATGACCAAAATAACAAACAATTGTTAAGCATTAACAACTTTAAAATAAGGAGGTAGCTTTGATATAACTGCAGGTTAAAAATAACTGAATTCATGCCCACAAAAATTTGCAACTGTACCACATACTTAGGGTAGACTTTCAAAATTTATTTTTAGATAGATATATGGTTCATTTGTAAGGAACTGGAAACCCTATAGTTTTAAACTTGTATACAAAGCTTATGTCTTAAGATTAAAAAGGCAGGAATGTAAGGTTTCTGGTACATGAAGTAGCAATTCCCCTCTAATTTTCCATCTTGTCTTGATCTTCAAATTCTCTTGAAAAGCACTTTAGCTATTTTTCACTCCCTGGTCCCTATGTAAACTGGCAATAAAAGATGGTTTTTTTAAAAAAAACTCTATCATCTTCAAGGGTAGTACAGTTGGTCTATAAAAGAAAACTTTAGTTCTGTTCAAGGCTAAGTCAAGGTGATATGGAAGCATTTATTCAGGGAGAGAGTTGTATTATCAATATTTTAAATAGGGGAACAAGAAGGTTCTGCTTCCTGGGTCCAAATCCAAGGTTTCTATAATATGCTGCTAATACTAAGGTATACATAATAGGTCTTTACACTCAGTTTCTGATGTTTGTACATACGTTGTTTAGTGAATTTTTATAAATAAGCTATATATATATATATATATATATATATATATATATATATATATATTTATTTATTTATTTAAAGCAAGATTTATTAAGAGGACAGAAAAGCTCCCACAGTGGGAGGGGACACGAGGGGTCTGATATACTTTTAAAGGGAATTTAACTTCATGTTAAATTACAATGTATAAATTGCTTGAAAAGTTCTTTAAAAAACCGTTGATGAAAGAAAGAGAGGGGGAAAGAGAGAAAGCAAGCAAGCAAGCTAAACAAAATTAGGAAAGAAACAAAGAGAACTAAGGCAGTATCAAGGAATTTGCCCAACTTACTTTTTTTCTTTTCTTTTTCTTTTTTTTGTAGAAGACATACAGCACTACATAACTTTCCTATAATATTGGCAGCCCTAAGAATTCCTTTTTTAACAGAGCATGTTATGGATGTATCCCTGCTCCATTATAGATGTATTCCTCTATCATTACTTGGATGCATACAATGACTGAACGGTGTATATTTCCTCTGGTTATAAGAATAAATACCAGGAAGGTGTTCATTTATGAAAATAAATACCAGTAATTTTCCTGGAAGAGGAACCAATGAAGTCAATCACCTTGGACATCAGAAGGTTCCTCTATTACATACAAAGTCTATCTTTAGCATGAGAACATGTGAACTATGTAAATTCTTCGAAGCTTAGGTTCTCATTTTTCATGGCAGTGCCTTTTCCCAATTACTCCACATGCTGGGATATCAAAGTTATTGTTAAATGGATCATTAAAATGACAGATCAGGTAGTTACACCTGACTAAGTAAGGCCTGAGTGTAAATTAGGTGCTTTGGGGTATGTACGCTGCCTTTTGAATCACTAGGATGTTATTACTGCACTGAAGCACAGGTAATAATTTGCAAACTCGGCTCAAAATGGGAGCGGGAGGTTAAAAACTGATGAAGAATTTGCCACTACTGACAGAACAGTCTTAATAGCTACCTTCAGAATGCCACTTTTCTATTTGGGACTAACCAGTTTAAATAAACATTTGTATTTATGTTTTTTTTTCTTTTTGAGTAGGAGTCTCACTCCATTGCCCAGGGGCTCCATAGCCACCCCAGCATCGCTCACGGCCACCCCAGTGTTGACCTGCTGGGCTCAGGCGATCCCTCTGCCTCAGCCTCCCAAGTAGCCAGAACTATAGGCGTGCGCTACCATGCCCAGCTAATTTTTTGACTTATTATAGAGATGAGATCTCGCCATGTTGCCCAGGCTGGTCTCAAACTCATGGGCTCAGGCAATCCTCTTGCCTCAGCCTCCCAAAGTGCTGAGATTACAGGCTTGAGCCACCATGCCTGGTCTATACTATTTCCACTAATATACTTGGGGAAAAAAAATGTTTCACTTAGAATTAAGAAATACCAAGGATAAGAAATTCATATGGAAAACACTCTATTTGCTTCTATAAAAATAACCATATTGTTTCTTACTCAGTTTTCAAGTATAAAAGATTTTTCTGTAACCTTAAGCATCACCGCCTTAATACGCTTTTATAAATCAATGAATATTTTTGAGTGGCACTGTGTCCAAAGCATTGTACTGATGAATTCATCCAAATTGTGCACTATTAATTGATATAATTTCTTAGTTCTTGCTTTATTGAATTTGATTGGTACAGGTCAAGAGAATATGACCAGGGAAATACCTTCTTTAGAAATGGAACTTTGATCTTTTCAAGGTCATTAAGAATGCTACCAAAAAAACAAAAAACCCCAAACCTTTGAGTAAATAGAATGTGTTCATAAAATATTACACATCTTGCAGGAACCAAATAAGACATACTCAAACAGGTAAAATCTGCTTTTACCTCAACACTGATTCACTTTGAAAGTAGCTTTGAGTCTACACTTCAAACACAGAAACTGGTATCCCTTGTTATCAGAATATAAACACAAAGAAAGAGTTCGTTTTCTCCAAACATCTGATTTGTCTTTTAAAGAAATGCTAACATAATACTGAGTTTAGTTCTATGCCATATTTAGAAAATTAAAGTTCAAAATATCTTAGAGTTGGAACTTCTGAAAGGCAAAAAAAGAAACTAAATTGACCAGGGGTGAGAGAATTGTAGTATGGCACGCAACCATTCCTGTCTGCTTTTTATTTTTGTCCCACCCTGCTTACAACATAAGAAAAGAGATTCTTGGCAAATAGAAAAAAATATAGATTTTGAAATAATCTTTTTTCTTACTTTCTTCTTTCACTGGGTAAAGGTATTTTGCTATGCAGCCATAACAAAAAATGAAATTATGTCCTTTGCAGCAACATGGATGCAGCTAAAGTCCACTATCCTAAGCAAATTAATTCAGAAAGAGAAAATCAAATACCCCATGTTGTTACTTGTAAGTGGGAGATAAACATTGGGTACACACAGACATAAAGAAGAGAAAAACAGACACTGGGGACTCCTAAAAGAGTTGAAAAACTACCTATTGGGGACTATTTACTGTAACAAACCTGCACATGTACCTCTTGAATCTGAAATTTAAAAAAATAAATGGGTGTTGTTTTAAGCTGAAAAATGGTATTTTGTAAATAGTCCTTGCCTTTTTACAAAAGGATTAGCAATAATATTTTATGCTGGCTAAAAAAATAACACCAGTTTCTCTTTTGAAATGTCTATTGTAAGGGGTAGGTAATTACTAAATTCATTTTCATACAAACATTAACATTTCTTAATCATGTTTCAAATCTTTTGAAATTGCAGAAAAGGCAACAGTACCAACTACAAGATCCTTGAATTTTGGGATATGCCATATCAACCACAATAATAATATACCACATTGTCTGGAAGGGTAGTTTATTTTTTAACTTACTGCCTTTAAACTACCTTTTTTGCAATTTGAATATGAAGTAGGAAAATGACTAAAGAATTTTGTATCACATATAATATCTTCTGTGGATTTTTGTTTAGTTTATAGAATTAGCTTTTATCTTTGGGTTTTCCATCTCAAAATCAAACATGCCCTGCTAAAGTAAACTCTATTCAAACAATGTAAATAGATATTCAATAATAGCAAGTTATAGTACAGGGAACTTTTTTATACTGAGACTTACAAATGATATAAAGTAGGTCCTTGATTCACTGAATATTCTCCAGTTTATCTCCCATTTCAAGTAATGGAAGAGATTTGAAACTGGAGAAAGTCTATGCATTAATCATTACCTTAACCCCAATTGTCTGAGAGGTTCTCTAGTGTCTGGCCAACATCAAGGAATATCTGTTATACGCTGAAATGCTGCCAGGAGTCAAGTTACAAACTTACACTCAAGAGTTTTCTGGGATGACACTGGATTTGGGATATCTACTTTTCTGTGCTATGCAGCTGCAAGCAATACTTTGTTCTTTAGGAAAAAGGAAATACCATAACTTTTTTTTTTTTTTAACTTAAAAGAAATAGCTGCCTTTAGGGAAATGGAGTTGGGATGCTCACTCCAAACCTATACTCCAGTGTATTTTGGAACGAGGCACTCAAATTCTCAGTTGACAACCCAGATATTGTTGCTTACTCTATGCCTACCTATCTCTTTTCAAGGAATGACTTCCTTATGTCTAGGAGATAGACTATATTAGGGCTTGAAATAATATATTTTCTTGTAGGAAAACTGTCTGCCTGCAATTGCTTCTCTGAAAAAATATATATGCTGATAGAAGAAAAGTGGTTCAGTTTTCCAAAAACACATTTACAAACAACTTTTCAAGAACATAGTTCTTTTGCTAAGGCAGGAACATCTGTATTTACAACACAGATCTCAAACACCTACATGTTTTTCTGTATAACAGGGCATGTTTCCCTTGGCTGGTACAATGTTTTATCTTTGTATTTGGACAGGAATTTATAAATAGGTCATTCTTGGTATTTTAGTCAGAAGGATATTTAGGCATTAGTTCTGTTTTAGGGAAAACAGTGAAGTGTAACAGCACAAAATATCATGCCAGTCTTTTCACTTTTTCACATGCACACAAAGTTACCATCTGAAGTCCTCTTTAATTCAGCTTTCAGTTTCTGCTGGTCTTCAACTAGTTTTTTATTTTCTTTTTCCAAAATGTGTTCTTCATCCTTGCCATAACTTTTCAAGACCTATCACAAAAGGGAGTTATAGGAAGAAGTAAGCTTTGATTGCAATAGTTAGATATTCTTACAGAAAATGGGCTGAGTAACTGATTTAAAACTTATGCCTTGTCCTTTCTGGTTAATTTTCTACAATGTACTTTTGTGAAAAGCTTAATATTTGACAAACACACAAAAAGATTTATCTTTATTGTGGCTGAAATTTCTAAAATGAAAATAAGAATTTATGGTTGCTACTATTAGAATTATGTTTTCAAAAGTACTTAGGTAAACAATGTGAGCCTTTCTCAATTAAATGAGAAACATACAGATGCTGGATAGGATGTGGGGGAAAGAGAACTCTTCTACACTGCTGGTGGGAGTGTAAACTAGGACATTCTCTGTGGAAAACAGTGTGGTGATTCCTAAAAGATCTAAAAATCAACCTTCCATACAAAACCCCACAATCCCACCTGCTAGGAATATACCTGGAGGAACTCAAATCATCCTGTCATGCATGTTTATTGCAGGATTATTCAAAACAGCAAAAACATGGAACCAACCATGCTGCCCATCAAAAGAGAACTGGATAAAAAAAATGTATATACAAATGATGGGATATTATACAGCCATAACGAAGGACACAATTTAGAACTTCGCAGCAACTTGGGTGGACTTAGAGTCTATAATGCTGAGTGATCTATCACAGAAACAAAGACCTGAGTACCACAAGTTCTCACTCATAAGCAGACCTTGAGCAGATATCATAATACTATAAGAAAGGAACTGGAAGTAGTAAAAAACTGCCAGGGGAGGGAGGGTGGAATTGGCAGTAGTGGGAGACTGCCAGGAGAGGCGAGGCATACCTCATCAATAAGGGTACCTGCATAATGAACATTTGTATACCTAAACCTGAATTGTACCTCACATCTTTAAAATAAAAAAATTTAAAAAGAGAAACATAAACTAGGGAAAAAACAGTTCTGAGGATGATATTAATTGGAAAACCATTATGTGCTGTTACACTTCACTGTTTTCCCGAAAACAGAACTAATGCCTAAATATTCTTCTGAAGCTGTCGACTCAGATTATTTTTATATAGGTAAGTTTGTAAGAGAAGTAAATAATGTCAGGGTGGAGATGGCTAAGTGGGAAATGACAGGGCCATCTCTGTGGTTGGAAAACTCCATCTAATTTTCATTGAATAGTTTCCAAGTTACTTTTATTCAGTTAATCTTTTACAATTCTCTTTATATTTTAAAATGTATTCTGACTTTAAAAATGTTTATGTTGGCTGGGCGCGGCGGCTCAGGCCTATAATCCCAGCACTTTGGGAGGCGGAAGTGAGAGGATTGCCCTGAGTCCAGGGGTTCGAGATGAGCCTGGGCAACTTGGTAAGACCTTCTCTCTACAATAAATAAAAAAATTAGCTGGGTATGGTGGCACATGCCTGTAGATCCAGCTACTTGGAAGGCTGAAGCAGAAGGATTCTCTGAATCCAGCAGGTTGAAGCTGCGGTGGCCGTGAGTGTGCCACTGCACTCCAGCCTGGGCGACAGAGTAAGATTCTGACTCAAAAAAAAAAAAAAAAAAAAAAGTTTATGTTTGTAGCTTATCTCTTCTACTCAAGAAAACTTAAGATCTGAATAGTAAAACAATTTATCAAAATAAAAATATCATGGAGTAAAAATTTCATAATCTGTAACTATGGATAGAAATATCATCGTTAGAACTAAGAAGCTGACTAAAAGAGATAAGGAATTTAAGTTACCAAGAAAGACAAATTAAATGTTTGAAAAATAAAACATGTACACACTGGCATGGTAAACTGACTAAAGTGGCAGTCACTTGATTCTGACAGATTCTACAGCCAGATAAAAAAGAAATTCAGGAGAATTTTAAACAGATTAACAGAGGAATTTTAAACAGAGGAAATTCTGCTATATGGTGATTCCTTTTCTAATGTTAGCTATATAGTCAACAAACAAAACTAACAAAGTTCTACTGAGCAATGACTACATGCAAATATTTTACAATGCAGGGTGCTATAAGGGCTAAAACTGTAAGCGAAACATTATCTCTACTTTCAGGTAACTTCAATCACATAGAAAGGGTGGCAGGAGAGCAAAAACAAAAAACTGCAGCCCAAGACCAAATACAATACTATTGTGCTATGACAGAGATTAGGCAGCTCAAAAGGAGAATTTAGAGTTTTTGGCTGAGCTCAGTGGATCAGCCTATAATTCCAGCACTTTGGGAGACTGAGGTGAGTGGATTGCCTGAGTCTGCAGGTTCGAGACCAACCTGGGTAACTTGGTGAGATTTGTCTCTACAATAAATCAAAAATTAGCCAGGCGTGGTAGTGCGTGCTTGTAGTTCTGGGGACTTGGAAGGCTGAGGCGGAAGGATCGCAGAGCCCAGCAGGTTGACAGTGGGGTGACTGTGAGCATGCGTGCCACTGTACCCCTGCCTGGGTAAAGGAGCGAGACTCCAACTCAAAAAAAAAAAAAAAAAAGTTCTAGTGCATATATTATATAATCCCAGGAACTATTTTTTAGAGATAGGAGGACTGAGGTACATTCTGAAACTGAAGGAGCTTCATACCTTTTGAAACAAAATAATATACATATATTTAAAAAGAGGAGTACAAGAAAAACAAAATTTCTCCATATCTTTTAATTTGTGGCCCACTTGAAGTTCAAAACAACCTTAGCTGCTATTTCACTTAATTCAGTTCATAAAATCTCCAGTGATTACCCAAATTAGATGAGAACCATTGAGTTACAGGAATGTTTTCACAGTCTGCTTAATTTTTATGCTAGTGACTTGGAAAAGTTGGATTTGTGTCAGTCTTGTAGATAAGCTTTCATTACTGCACCTGTAAACTTGTCCAAATTTATAATGTGTAATTTCATGCTGGAGAAAGACCAAGAGCCCTGAAATTTGAAATTTAATAGCTACCAGCTATAATAATGTGTTTCCTGTCCCACACACCTTATCCTATCTAGGGAAGTAGCTGGAAAAAAAAACCAGTAAGAAGTAAAGCTCTATCACCTGTAGCAGTTAAATTAAAAGTTAATTGGTCTTTCATAATTATTTCCATTTATTTAACTGAATTTCAGAATACAATCTACCATTGAAAATCGTTTTATAGGATAGCATGGGAGGTGAGGTCACAAAACAATGTGGTTAAGAATGTGGAGTCTAGAGTCACACTGCCTGGCTTCAAATCTTAGTTCAGTCTCTTATTAGCTGAATGATTTTTTGCAAGTCACTTAACGTTTCTGTGTCTCGGCTTCCTCATCTATAAAATGCAGATAATAACAATACCAATCTCATGGGTTGTGAGAATTTAAAAGAGGTTAAAACCTTACTGGGAGCCGGGCTCGGTGGCTCAGCCTGTAATCCCGTGCCTTGGGAGGCTGAGGTGAGTGGATTGCCTGAGCCTGCGGGTTTGAGACCCACCTGGGCAACTTGGCGAGACCTCATCTCTACAATAAATCAAAAATCAGCCGGGCATGGTAGCACATGCCTGTAGTTCCAGCTACTTGGAAGGTTGAGGCGGAAGGATCGCTGGAGCCCAGCGGGTTGAGGCTGCGGTGATCTCTCACTGAAACAAAGAGCTGAGTACCACATGTTCTCACTCATAAGTGGACCTTGAACAACTACTGTATTACTGTAGGAAAGGAATTGAAAGTAGCGGGAAACTACGGGGAGGGGTGGAAAGCTGGGATTGACAGTAGTCGATATCCATCTGGGGGGGCACACCTCATCAATAAGGATACCTGCACAAGGAACATTTGTATACCTAATCCTGAATTGTACCCTACAATTTCAAAATAAAAATTAAAAGAGGAAAAAAAATAATAAAAATACTCTTGAAATAATCACTACATAGAACAATGTTATTAATTACGGCTATTTTCTGTTTATAAATTATGAAAATGCTCTTTTTAATGCCAAAAACTAATATTTCACTCCTTAGGAACACCAACATTTATACACATTTATATATATAAAAAAAAATACCCATTTTAGTTTTTCATTCTCTTCCATAAATTTTTTGGCAGCCTTGTTAGTATTTTCTGCTTGAGTTTTGAGCACTCCTTGGTTTGACAGTTCTTTTGCCAGTTGAGTAATAAGTGTCACCAGGCGTCTCAACACTCTAAGAAAACAAAAGTTCAAAATAATGTATAACTAGCTAGACCAATAATCAGAAACTGTGACTTTAAAACAACAGTGATTATCAAATGACTCTTGTTAGGTACAGGTGTAGTGGAGGTAGATGATATTTAAGCAGAACACTTGCTTTTATTTTATTTTTTTAAATTTGAGTCTCCCAGTAAAAAAAAGCCTGTGTCTCATTCCTTTGGCATCTTTGTTAGATGACCAGCATTTAGAATACATTCTCAGTGATACTTATTTGTTTTCTTAAAGAAGGCTTTAGCCTGGAAAAGTAGAACTAGAAAAACTTCAGACAGTGTAACAGGGCCAAAGACAGAAGTCTTTTTTTGGCTCATTTCAAAACTTGCTGTTTAAAGAACATTGTATAAGGTCAGCCAAGCCTGAAAACTGCTAATTCACATCTGTTTATGGGTAGGTTCCATTGTTAGAAGTAGTAATTAATATCTTCAATTATTCATTCAGCAGATATTTGTTTGTTCAGGAATCGCTAAGTGTTAAACATCATGCTAGACACTGGGAACACAGCAAGAAACAAAACAAAGTCCATGTTCTCAGGAAGTTTAGGGTCTAGTTGGGGAGGCAAGAATTAAAACAATTACAATTTGAATGATACTAGAAAATAAAGTACATTTTTTTTTAATGAGCACATAAAAGAGAAGACCTACCTACTTTGGGGGTAGTGATGGCCTCAGAAAACTCCCCTGAGAAAGAGGCTGTAGCCTAAGTAAGAATTAACCAGGAAAAGAGGGAAGGGAAAAGTGTTTTGGCAGAAGGAATGGCTTGTATGAAAACCCTGAAGTGGGAAGGAGTTAGGTACACCATAGAACTCAATCAATATTTTAGCAAGAATGAATGAATTAATGACTATAGTGAAGGTTAGTGGGAGAGGGATGTATTATACACGTCAGAGACACATAGGAGACAAGGGTCCAGAAAAAGGGCTACATCATTCAAGGCCTTATGGATTTAGAAACCTACAAGCTGTACTATTGTTTGCTATTTGGGTACATCACCTGAGTTCTTTTATGAAAATCTATAGTAGGCCAGGTGCAGTGGCTCATACCTGTAATCCCACCCAGTACAGTGGGAGGTCAATGCAGAAGGATCACTTAAGGCCAGGAATTTGAGAGTTGCCTGGACAACACAGTAAGACCCTATCTCTACAAAAAAATAAGTTAGCTAGGTGTGGTGATGCGTGCTTGTAGTCTTAGCTACTCAGGAGACTGAGGTAGGAGAATCATTTGAGCCTAGGAGTTCAAAATTACAGTGAGTTATGATTGCACCACTGCACTCTAGCCTGGGTGATGCAGTGAGAGCTTGTCTCTATTAAAAAAAAAAATTATAAGCCGGGCTCAGTGGCTCAGCCTGTAATCCCGCGCCTTTGGGAGGCTGAGGTGAGTGGATTGCCTGAGCCTGCGGGTTCATGACCCACCTGGGCAGCGAGACCTCATCTCTACAATAAATCAAAAAATCAACCGGGCATGGTAGCGCACGCCTGTAATTCCGGCTACTTGGAAGGCTGAGGTGGAAGGATTGCCGGAGCTCAGCAGGTAGAGGCTGTGGTGGCTGGGAGCAGCCACTGCACTCCAGTCTGGGCGACAGAGTGAGACTCCAACTCAAAAAAAAAAAAAAAAATTATAGTAAGGGTGGACAAAACGAGAAAGAGAAGCATAAATCATGTTTTTAAATCGTGCTTCTACTTTTTTTTTTTTTACTTACAGCCAAAAAAATAATGAAAATCCAGAAATGTAAAGATTTCTTTGGGATCTAAAAAGTTTCATCTGTGTATGTTCATAGGCATTGGGGCTGCTGGTTGAGCTCTTCTCAATAGTATGGGTAAAGGAATATTTCCTTACTTCTCTCACAGCATCTGTAACAGAAAAAGAAAGAGAAAACATTACTTTCGGCTTTTAAGAATATAAACTTGTTAAAAAGTGAAAGCAGTTTTAGAATAACTGCCCAAACTTTAAATAATGGATATCAGGTAGAGGTTCTCTTTTTGTCTTTACCTCTATAGTACTTGGGAAAATATCATGCTCAAAGTAGGTGCTCCGTAAATGAATACTAGTGGCAAATTTTGAATTATTATAGTTTATTAAAAAAACCATCTAATATTTACCATCATTTTATTTTTTCTTCCCTAGTTATATGGGAAACTATTAGCCTTTATTCTATCTCTAAAAATGACTAAAATTCAATCTATTGACAACAACAGATGCTATATCCCATTACAATCAATTCTAGGAGACTATCCTATTTCTCTTATTATACTAACACTTTATTATATCTATTATTACTTTAAAATATTGAGATTTCAGCAATATTTGGTTATACTGAAATTTCTACTGCATACATTTGTTACAATGGAATTCCATGTATGGTGGCATACACGCCCCCAACTGTCATGTGGATGGCACTTGTTACTGGAAATGTTTAGAGAGCTGTTCCTTGGATGGTTTTAGTTCTGGTAAGTCTCAGATCCAGGGCAACCACTTCTTCCAGTGTAAAATAGTTATCAGCTTATTAGTAGCAATATTTAATGCATTCTTAGCCACTGGATTCTTGTATGTACTAGGGAACAAATCTGTTTTAGACGTCTCAAAAATCATTGGGGGTACAAGCAAATTAGAGTGCTCCTTTCATGTGACCATTAGCATTCTTGGGACACAATTACTGACACAAAAGAAAAGAGATTCCAGGTAGAAAACGGAGACCATTTTGATTATCTTATTTTTTAACAGCTTTACTGAGATATAATTAATATACCATAAACTTTATCCCTTTAAAGTCTGCAATTGTGGTTTTTAGTATAATCACAAAGTTGTTTAACCGTCACTGCTACCTAATTACAGAACATTCTTATCATCCCCAATAAAGTTTTATACCCATCTCATTTTTATCAACCCCAAAAGAAACTTCATATCCATCTCCTCCTTCCTCCAATCTACTGGAGACCACCAATCTACTTTCTGTCTCTATGTACCTATTCCAGACATTTGATATTAACAGAATCATATTCTATGTGGTTCTGTTGTCTAGCTCCCTTAACTTAGCATGATGTTTTCAAGGTTCTTGTTTTGTTTTGTTTTTCACCTTTAAATTTTTTTATTTTAAAATTGTGGGGTAAATTCAGGGTTATACAAATATTCATTGTGCAGGTACCATTGTTGATGAGGTGTGTCCTCCTTCCCCAGGCAGTTTCTCACTACTGCCAATCCCACCTCCCCGCTGCCCCATGCCCCCGCAGTTTCCCGCTACTGTCAATCCTTTTCTTATAGTGTTACCATAGTTGCTCAATGAGGTCCACTTATGAGTGAGTACATGTGATAGTCAGTTCTGTGTTTCTGTGAAAGATCACTCAGTATTATAGACTCTAAGTCCATCCTGGTTGTGAAGTTCACAATTTTGTTCTTCTTTATGGCTGCGTAATATTTCACTATAGAGATGTGGTAACATTTGGTTTATCCAAATCTCTTTTTCTTTTGTGTCAGTAATTGTGTCCCAAGAATGCTAATGGTCACATGAAAGGAGCATTCTAATTTGCTTGTACCCCCAATGATTTTTGAGACGTCTAAAACAGATGCGTTCCCTAGTACATACTAGAATCCAGTGGCTAAGAATGCACTAAATATTGCATTCATCAGATGATGGATATTTGGGTTGTTTCTATTATGACTATTATGAATACGCTGCTATGAACAATACAAGTTTCCTATTGACATATGTTTCCATTTCTCTTGGTATATACCTAGGAGTAGAACTGCTGAGCATATGGTAACTCTACGTTTAACTTTCGGAGTAACTGCCAGACTGTATTCCAAAGCCACTATACCATTTCACATTCCCACAAGAAGTGTGTGTTGGTTCCAATTTCTCCATACCCTCAGCAACACTTGTTATTATCTTTTTGATTATAGTCATCCTAGTGGGTGTGAAGTGGCATTTCATTGTGGTTTTGATTTGCATTCCCATGATGGCTAATGAATGCAAACATCTTTTCATGTGCTTATTGACCATTTGCATATCATCTTTAGAGAAAAGTCTACTAAGATCCTTTATCCATTTTTAAATTGGGTTATTTGCTTTTTTATTTGTCCCCCAAATGTCTTTTATGTATTTCTTCTTTTTTTTTTTTTCTTTTTCTTTATTTTTATTTTTTGAGTTGGAGTCTCACTCTGTCACCCAGACTGGAGTGCAGTGGCTGCTCCTGGCCACCGCAGCCTCGACCTGCTGGGCTCCGGTGATCCTTCCGCCTCAGCCTTCCAAGTAGCTGGAATTACAGGCATGTGCTACCATGCCCGGCTGATTTTTTGATTTATTGTAGAGATGAGGTCTCGCTGCCCAGGTGGGTCTCGAACCCGCAGGTTCAGGCAATCCACTCACCTCAGCCTCTCAAAGGCGCGGGATTACAGGCTGAGCCACCAAGCCCGGCTATGTATTTTTTCAAACTGATAATTTTATAGTGAACATTCATCAAATATAGTTATGTCTCTGTAGTCTCTTGATATACAACATTTTTAATAAAAAAAGACATTGACTAAAGTGTCAGGCCGATTGTTTTACAGAAAGTTCTCACAATCTGGATTTGTCTGACTCAGGTATATCTAATTTGTTTCTCTAATTCCTGTATTTTTAGAAAATTAGATCTCCAGTAGAAGTATTTCACTGGATCAAGTTTAATACTTTTGGCAAGAATCCCTCATAACTTATGTAATGTTAGCTTTTCTCATACTTTTTGATGCTAAATTTGATTACTTGGTTAAGATGGCACATTAGTCAAGGTCCTCCAGAGAAACAGAACCAACAGAATGTGTGTGTGCATATACATAAATATATACACAGAGAGAGGAGAGAAAGAGGTGGAAGGGGAGAGGGGGAGAGCGGGAGAGGAGGGAAGGGAGCGAGGAGAGGAGGGGGAGAGGGAAGGGGAAGGAAGGGGAGAGGGGAAGGGAGAAAGGGAAGGAGGAGGAGGGAGAGAAAGAAAGAGGGGGAGAGAGAGAGGAGAGAGAGGGAAGGAGAGACACTGAGACTGAGAGATTTATCTTAAAGAATTGGCTCACAGGCTTGCAGAGGATCGATAAGTTCAAAATCTGCAAGGTAGACTGGCAGTCTGGAGGGAAGAAATACAGTTTGAATTCAAAGGCAGTCTACTGGCAAAATTCCTTTTTACTCAGAGGTCACTCTTTGTTCTATTAAGGCCTTCAACTGATTGAACAAAGCCCACTAGCATTATAGAAGATATAATTTGCTTTACTCATAGTCCAGTTATTTAAATATTATCCAAAAAATACCTTAACAGAAATATCCAGAATAATGCTTGACCAAATAATATCTGGGCACTGTGGCACAGTCAAACTGACACACAAAACTAACCATCACAGATAGTGACTACCAAATTTCTACACTGAAAAGGTTTGTGTTTCTGTTTTTATTTATTTTGGTCTTGAAATCTGGTAGTGTGTCCCAATTTTGCTCCTTTTAAAGAATTTCTGGCTGTTATGAGTTGTTTGTCCGCATACATTTTAGAAGCAATCAATCAATTTCTACAAAAATGCCTGTTGGGATTTTAACCAGGACTATGTTGAGTCCACAGATTCATTTTGGAAAAATAAACATTTCAATAATACTGAGTTTTCCAACTAATAAAAAATCTCCATTTATTTTGATCTTCTTTAATTTCTTCCAGCAATGTTCTTGTAGTTTCAATATAGAGCTCTTTTGTGTCTTTTATTTATTTATTTTTTTGAGTTGGATTCTCACTCTGTTGCCCAGACTGGAGTGCAGTGGCCGCTCCCAGCCACCGCAGCCTCGACCTACTAGGCTCCAGCGATCCTTCTGCCTCAGCCTTCCAAGTAGCTGGAATTACAGGCATGTGCTACCACGCCCAGCTGATTTTTTTTGATTTATTGTAGAGATGAGGTCTCGCTGCCCAGGCGGGTCTCGAACCCACGGGCTCAGGCAATCCACTCACCTCAGCCTCCCAAAGGCACGAGATCACAGGCTGAGCCACTGAGCCCGGCCTCTTTTGTATCTTTATAAAGCTTATTTCTAAGAGTTTTTAGGCTTCTTGGTATAAACACAAAAGGAATTTTTTAAAATTTTACTTTCCTATTGTTTATTGCTTATATTGCAGAAATGAAATTAATTTTTCTGTATTGACCTAGTATTTTGTGACTCTCACTATATTAATTTCTTTGACATATAAGTTTTCTTACAAAAGCTAAAAATTAGGATTTTTGTATAAAAAAGTATGTTATCTGCAAATAAGATTGTTTTCTTTCTTTGCAATCTTTATGTCTTCTGGTTCTTTTCCTGACTTATTACAATCCTGTAGGACATCTATTATTTAATTGAATAAAAACAGTGAAAGTGAATATCCCTGCCTTGTTCCCAATCTTATGGAAGAAACCCTCAATATCTAATTAAGCATGATGCTAGTTCAAGGTTAATTTTCATCAGAATGAGAATGTTTCTTTCTAAATCCTAATCTGCTAACCTTTATTTAAAAAAAAAAAAATCACGAGTGAATATTATTAAGGTGGAAACTAAAATAATTGGTTTTAAGCCTTTCTTCTCTAAAAAACATTCAAAACTATACATTTTCCTCCAAGCTGTGCTTTAGTGGCATCTCACATATTTTGGTGTCTTGTATTTTCATTATTATTCAGTTAAAAAATTTTCCCATTTCCTTTGTGAGTTCTTTGACCCAAGGGTTAGTATAAGACAAATCTTGTCTAATTTGTAAATGTGTAGAGGTTTTCCAGAAATCTGTTATTGATTTATATTTTACATACTCTGCATGACTTCAATCCTTTGTATTTATTGAGACTTATTTTATGACCCAGAATATATTGTACTTGGTGAACAGTG